GGTTTGTTTTTTTTCTCTGTGATGGTTCTTCAAATTTGTTCTTAATTTATTTAAAGCTTTCCATGCTTCTTTTTTTCTTCTCTGTCTCTGAAGAGCATAGGAATATAGCACAAGGCGCAGGTAGCTACCTARTGAGTGTCCACAGAAAGTAGATAAAGAAGGGAGAGGAGAAGGTAATGACCAGTAGACACACRTGGTGAGGGCAACTCCAGGGTCCAGCTATTCTTTTTAATTCATGTCCATCCTACACAGTGCAGGACTTTCTTACGTCCAATGTCTTGATGGGTTTCTCTCATAGAGGGTAGGAATAGCCTCTTCTTCAGCTTGGCCATCACTGTGAGCTTGTGGGATGGGAATGGTCTAAAAAAGAGAGGAATCTGACTCTCCTAGAGCAGATAACGTCTAATTAACATGTCGTGATTAAAGATGCAGTTCTTGATTCCAAATCTGTGTGTGATAGCACATCACGGCCATATTTGGGTCAGTGCATATTTGCAGAGCASATGCAAACTTTATTTTCTCAATATGCTTCACTTTACAAATGTCTGGTTCAATTATAGATGGGGCTTTTGTTGATTTTGTGTTGCTAGAATGCAGTTCATTACCTGGATAAGAATCCTTCAGAAACTAYCCCGGGTCGTGAGTTTTACCTCCTTCTGGCTTTGTGCATCACCTCTTTAGAGTGGCACTTGGACCATGCTCCAAATTCAATACTACTACAATTCAAAACTTTATTTATAATTTTCCCCTGGCCTTAGGCCTTTCCATGAACTTGCAGCTTCAATATTCTCATGGATTAAATCCCCACCATCAGCTAAAATGTGGACATCTACAGCAGCCTTGATTCTTACTCTTACCATCAGTGCTCTGAGGTCCTGCACTCAAGAAAGGCAATGGCTATGCAGGGAAGATGTGAGGGAAGGGAAGAAGAAAAGGGAAGCAACCAGAAATATATTTAACTTATCAAGAAGGCAAGTTTGGGCAAGGTCTTACCAAGACCTGGGTAGAGAGATTGAGGCTGGTAGTTGTCCCATGTAGATGCTCTTAGAAACTCTCCTAGTTYGGGAGAGAAGTGACCAAGATCCCAGGCTTCAGCAGGTCTCCACCAAACCAGTAATCCTGGAGCCTTGGAAATAAAAGATGTCACTCAGAACAATTTTGAGTCAAAGTYGAGCTTCCACATGGGGGAACTTTGACTTTTCCTATTCTGCAGCATTTAGGATATTGTGATGGCAGCTTGGTTTGAAAGGTTAATATTCCAACCCCTCTATCCAGTTCCTCCACTCCCAAGGTTTATATCTCCGTGGCTTTTGTGGTTCCTGGGGCTATTTTTCTCATGGTAATTGGGGCACAGTTGGTTCTCAGCAGCCTATTTGCTTTTCCTATAGATGTAGATAAATATGCATATATACATCACATATATATGCGTATATGTCTATGTGTATAACATATGTATATGTGTGTGTACATGTTTTGAGGTTGGGATTTTTGTTTGTTTGGGATTTTTGTTTATTTGTTTTCAATAAATGAAAAGTCCCCATGACTTGAATTTTTTTTTCATTTTTGAAACAGCATTTCAAAATGAAACCGAAACTTGAACAATRTGTAAAATAATTAGTCTGAATGAATCAGTAGGATAGCCAAATCAGACTAGTATTAGAAGTGTTTTCTATTTGCTGTCTTGGGTTTRATTTTGAAAAATATTGCTTGCAAAAATAGTAGAAGGACAGGGATTTTCCCAGATTTAYATCAAGAAAATAGTTGTCATTATTAGCCCCATTTGGCAGTAGAAAAATGAACAAGAGCAGGCAGGCTGAAGAGGAGGGGAAGCTGACAAGGTTTATTTTTTCAAATATGCACAAACAGCAGTAAATTTGCTCATCAAGCCACGTAGAAAAATAATCCAAAGGAAAAGAGATCCCAAATTAAGCCCATTTCTTGCATCTCAACTGCATGTTTTGATACAAACTAATCATCCAGCACTCTCAAATGCTGTCAAATCTGCTGTAATGTGAAGCAGATTAAGAATGCAAGTGGAAATTGTATCTGATTTCTGCTGTGGCGTGAAGGCCGAGTTTTGTGTTGGCTAAGTGTAACCTCTTGTTTGATCTATATTTAAACATTTGTGACAGCGATAACATTATCAAGTATCAAATAGAAATGCTGCCTTTTTTTTTTTTCCTCTGTCTCATTAATTTCCTTTGGCATATTTATTTTGAAGCCATACAAATAAGTACAGGAAAGCAGGTTGGACCCTTCGTGGTTCCAGACATCCCTAAAAAAAAAAAATAAGTAAAGTAGTTAAAAAAATCCTTTGGGACAGACAAAAAAGTGGAGAAACCGTCACATTTTATGTTACTAAAGTAGCACTAAAGCAGCATATCAGAAGTGGAAGAGCACTGATTTATTCACGCCACTCTTCGTTATATAATTTTGGTTAACTGACAGATTGACTGAGAAGTGCTTGAGTTGTCTCTCCGGGTGAAGGAGGTAGCTCCACTAACAAAGTTTGGTGAGGACAGGAGGTTTGTGGCCAGGTCACATCCTACCTTGGGGCTCAGGGCACAGTCAGGCACATGTTTGAGGGTAAGTGGCATGATCTGGATAACCCTGGTTGCATCTTGCTCYTGTAGCTCCTCCTCCTTCTCCTCTAGGATTGCTCGTAGCAATTTGTTTAGTCAATCCATACATCTAGAAAACAGGGAAAAGCTAAGAGCAGGCCAATAAATATGTGACAAGTCCTACCAAACCTTCATATTTTTTGGCAAGCTTCGGTAAATTCTGTGCAGCCCCATTCCCAGCACGTCTGGGTTGGAGCAGATGGGCTGCGCATTTTTTCCCCCTCTTCCTAAAAATATATATTTCAGAGCTTTCCCCAAGCAACTCACTCACCCTCAGCTAGAAAACTTTGGTGCTGTGATCTTCTGGTCTTCAGCTGAGATATGCRAAGAGTAAGACACAAGTGGGTAGCTGAAAAGCCGCCTGCTGTTTCTTCAAGGACGTTGATATGACCTTGGATTTTTCTTTACCTTTGCCGTCATTTCATTCCACAAATCAGCAGACAGACATCATGTGGAAACTCTGAGAAGTTTTAAAAGAAAAATACAAGTTGCATGCCGTGAAATTCTTCAGCTTCTTTCTAAAAGGYAGTGAGCAGGTGTGATTTATGTTGGTGACACGTAAAGAACTGTAACATCTGTGTCTTGGGTCATTATGGATGAAGCCTCTAAGGTAGTATAAATACATCAAAGCATTTACAAGGAAATATTTAGCTGTAGAAAGTGGATTCTTATTTATTAGTGTGCATTTCTGAATCATTTATGGTTGTGTTGAGAGTCGGTGTGGTGTATTGTTTGACCAACTCAGATTCTACCTTTTGGTTTTGGTGTCCTTCAACTGTATGTGTCTTTGTGGGTTGGAGAGGACATCTCAGGACCAGCTTGATATCTGGGAGAGGCTACATGGTCTGAACTATAATGTGAACAAAAGAAACAGAGAGGAACCTAGTCAAGATTTTGATTACAAGGAAGGATTTTGAATATACTGCTGTATCTAGTATCAGCCCATATTTCTGTTATGAAGAAAATAAAAAATGCTATATAAAAATGCACTCCTATGAATGTTATTTCCTAATCTAAAAGACAAGCTGGATTTCTGATTTGATCTTCTATTCTTTCTTTATGGTTTAGTGGTGACTAGTAAGGGATGGMAAGTAAAGATGGTTGTCAGGAAAAGATGGATAGATTAATTTCCAACAACTGAAATGAATGTCTGCTTTGAGCACAACCTGAAGCATGTGCCAGGTTAGCTGACAGACAGTGATAAAAATATATTCCTCTTGCCAGTTCTGGTACTACCGTGTATGTTCGAGCAATGTGATATCATTTGGAAATTGTAGGAATGTGTGGAAAAAGGAGGAGACGGAGGAGATCCCACTTATTCTTTCTGCCATTCCTGAAGGCCTCTTAGATGCCACAAAAGGTGCCCGTCTCCAGGGGGCAGGTGGATATATGGGATTCTATTTCTACTGTTTGACAGTATGTTGTTGGACTAGGAAGTCATTAAAGACTTGAAATGGAGAATTTGAGACTTTTAAGAGCTTGGGTGGATCCAAAACGATGTCGTGCTTCAACTTGGGAGATAAAATACTCTCCRTTTTTGAGCTCTCAGCCTTCCTAGTGAGCAAGTTTCTCCACAAGCTGTGGAACCAGCTGAATCCATTTTTTTTTTCCTGGGTTTGTGTTTTTGAGTCTCTTGCCTGTGCATTTTTTTTCACTTCCCCTCTATCTCCAGCCCCATTTCTGCTCTGATACACATGTCAGGGAAGGGACTGCAATGTTTCTTCTGCTCRTGTGCAGCCTGGGCACCCATCTCCCGCAAAAGGGAACATTTTACACCTCCGTCCACCTGCCTTTCCTGCCTTGCCGACCCTCTTCGGGGTCTTTCTCCTCTACCTAGCAGTTGGTCTCAACTGATTGGTGGCATGAGGAGTATCTTTGAGATTTGTGGATGCCTTTCAGTGCTACCTGAAAAAGCTCTAGGGTTCAGAAGTTACTAGGGCAGTGTTGGCAAGCAAGCAGAGGGATCATTTCACCCTCATTTCGGGAAATCAGCCTAAAAATAGGTTATTGAGACTCAAGATTAAAAGGAATAACATGACAAAGCAGCGTGAATGTTGAAAAACATTCACGGCCCAAACATCCCTGCCAGCATTGCTGCATGTGTTTTTAGCAACTAGTTATAGGGCTTTATACACGTTGTATCTAGCAGCATCTTAGCAAGAGTTGTGCTGATGGTTGGGTTTTCCCTTTGATGCAGTAAGTTTTAGAGATGCCTTTTGATGTATGTTATTTTATTTCCTTTAGCTTTTTTGATWGTGGGGAGATTCCTTGCCACCTGTGATGAGCATTATATTAAAAACCGCCGCAGCATGGGAATGGCATGGGAAGATGTATGCTAAGATGTGTTTCTCACCACTGGGTCTGCCTACTTTGTCCCAGGTGCAGTTGAAAAGTGAAGAATCGAAAACTTTTGCCATGAAGATCTTGAAGAAGCGGCACATAGTGGACACGAGGCAGCAGGAGCACATACGGTCAGAGAAGCAGATAATGCAGAGTGCCCACTCGGACTTCATCGTAAGGTACCATCCCTCCAGCCTGTACATTTGCTGGGGAAAAATACTTGCAAAATATAGGGGAAAAAGTTAGCATTTAAAACCGTATTGCYGTGAAAAATGGATAGGAATAATCTTAGCATCACTACAGAAATATTTTGGCCACAGCTTACCTGCAAGCAACTGCTAATRCAGGACCTTAGGATGAGGTTGTCTCCAGGACAGCATGAGATTACCCTGTCTATAGTGAAGAGGGGGCTTCTCGCCATGCTACCAACATGACACCAAGCCTAAATTAAGCCTGGGRCTTAACTTAGCACAGAGCAGAGGGAACCTCACAAGGAGGATTCATCCCCCACTTAAGGAGATGACCGAGGCCCTTGGCTTCTGCTGGAGAACATTTCTGCTCCCAAGAAGCTCTAGAGATGCTTTCTTAGCACAGGGTGGAAACCAGTCAGCCTCTTCCTTCAGAGCCCTTGGGAACACCTCCACCATCCTGGCTCTGCTCAATAACAAGGTAATCCAGAGAGCTCTTGGAAATGGGTCCCAAACTCAATTTGGGACCAGCAGATCTCCTTAGCTCTTGCTCAGTCCTGATGCAGCGCAATGTCTTGAAGCTCCCTGATGCCCTTTGTCATAACCATCCCAGCACAGAAGTCTCCGATGCAGCAAGTTGTTTGCTCCAAGGCTATTTTCCCTCAACTAAAGTGGAGGAATAAAGCAAAAGGCACTCTGCCTGCTTTTCATCACCATCTGAGCTGTTAGTTACTTTTGAAGCATTTATTTCACCTTCACATTTGATTCATTTGCCACAACTGCTGCYGCTTGGAGGAAGCAGGATGACACTGTGTGTGGCCTCAGTTCCCTTTACACGTCCGTGATCTTTATGATCTGATTCCCCAACATRCCTCCATTACCTAGACCCGAGCCAAATAGTCCTTGCAAATTGTTTCAGCCTGTACATGCCTCTTATCAAGTTGATCTGCATTGATCAGCTAATGTAATGGGAAGTGAATTGTGGGGCCAGCCAGCAACGGGGCCRTTTTGACACAAAATGTTAAGAATATCCCCTTTTAGATAAAGAGGATGGCCCTACAATAAAAAAGGGCTTTGGGGGAAAAAAAAAAAAGAAAAAAAATAAACGTTTAATATTAAAATATAACAAAGCAGGTAGTACTGAATGCCCTGTTTTTATTTACTTAGTTTCATTTTTTTTTTACTACCTAGAATAGTGATGGAGCTTTGCTCCCATTGTCCACAGTATGTTCTGCCATTTAAACACTAAGCTTCTCCTGAAGTATTTCCCACTGGATATAGAGGCCTGAAGAGAGGCCAAAGTCTTGCCCGTGGTCTACAAGACACGGGGTCTCTGACTGCAATCTCTTGTTTGCCAACAACAGGCTCTACAGGACRTTCAAGGACAGCAAATATTTGTACATGCTGATGGAAGCTTGTCTAGGGGGAGAGCTCTGGACAATTCTCAGGGACAGGTAAGTTTGAAGAAACTATTGCCTGAAAAAGTGGGATATTTTCCAGCAGGCCTTCAGACAACTTCAAAGATCTTTATATTTCATGTGCAAGACYATGCTTTGATTTAAGATCCTGGTGAGACTAGGAAGTCATCTTTTCTCATACAGTTAACTCTAGATCAAGTGAATCTGGTTATACCCAAGAATACCCCAAGGACTGATTTAAGCTGCATCAGATATATAYAAGACTATGCCAGTGAAGGCTATTTTGTCATGCTCTGTCTGAAAGCACGGGGTTCCTCTCTTTGAGGGCTTGAACTTGCAGGAGTTTGGGTTTTAAACATGGAAAGACAAAGAAGATGGGTTGTGTGTGTGCACATGATATGTGAACAAGGCATAATTCTAGTGCAGGAAACAGTGTGATAAATCAGATATAGCTATTTAATAGCATCATACTTTGAACATAGCTTTCTGTAGCTAAAAAGAAAAGTAGTGAAAGAAATATGTATATAATTTCTTAACTATCTAAAATGGATGTTTTTGATTTTTCCTAAGAACATGCCTTCTCTGGACCATTAAAATTAGGATGGTAGCAAACTTGCCAGGCACCTGTATGTCCTCGTGTTTCATTTACAGAGACTGGTCATTTAATCTGTGTTTCTCTTGCCTTTAAATTGTGGGTCTGCTGCCATCTAGCTTAGAAGTGCTTTCGTCTGCCTTGCAGCTTCCTTCTCTAGGGGCTTTGAAAAAGAGAAAAGAGAACAAGGATGAAAAACGGCATGGTTTCTGCTGAATTTGAAATTAATGCTTCAAATTGCAACAATTTTCTCCTTTTTTGCTTTTTTTTCTCAGTTGCAAACATCAGCCTCATAAGGTTTTGAATGTCACAGTAGGTGGGGATCAAAACGTGTGCATGGCCCAAAACTCAAGGGTTTATAATTAAAAAAAAAACACTTTTTACTTGCAAGGGACTTACCTGAAATAATTACCTATATGATGCCATGATAAAATACAATTTTAGCATTCTTTAATCTGAACATTTGATATGAATGTGGCTGGAAAGTAAAAGGGAACCTGGTTGACTTGACTCTGGGTAGAACGGCTAACACCTTGCCAAATTGAGCTCTGATGATGGGTGGTAACAGCCTGGTCCTATAAAAACTAATCGCAGTTCCCTTTCTTATCCCTTTGTCGTATTACACAGAGGTTCGTTTGAAGATTCAACAACCAGGTTTTATACTGCGTGCGTGGTCGAAGCTTTTGCCTACTTGCATTCCAAAGGAATCATCTATAGGGACCTCAAGCCAGAAAACCTCATTCTGGATCATCGAGGTTATGCCAAGCTGGTAAGAGCCCATAGCTTCACTTAAAAAAAATAACAAAAAAAGAAAAGCAAAACTCCAAACCAAAGGAAAAAAAAAAGACTTTTCTACGTCTGTGAAAGATGAGACACCACCACCCTAAAAAGAGGGCTGTTTCCAAGAGGGGCTGATGACCTCCCACCACCCTGAGAGGCACCAAGGGCCAACATCTCTGCCTCTTGGATGAAGGACTCTTCCCTATCTCTGGGAAGAGACACTGGGGGTAGCACCCACTGCCAGGAGCAGTAGGTCAGACCATTTTGGTTTGGTGCATGCACCCCAATGACACCATCTGAGGCCTTTGGGGTCTTTGATCCATTGGGGGGTCATCCATTGGGGGGTCATCCATTGGGACTGCCAGTGTGAGACAAGAAAAGTATCTCAGATGTCACAGCATGATCTACCCCAGTCATTTGAGGATGGTGTTCATTTTGGATTGCAGTGTTTTGAGAAGGTGAAGGTTTTTTCATGGCTATCAAGGGACAGCAGAGTGTGCTACAGACCACTATGTATGGGCACACACAGCCCYGAGGGCAAGGGAGGGCAGAGCTAACCGTTGATGGACAAGTGGGTAGAGCCAGAAAATAAGGCAATCTCGTTAAATATAGGTCATCTTGGGATTCTTTGGGTTCCCAATGCAATCCAGTTTTTCATGATTGCTTCCAGCTTCTCAGCGGATGCCTCCATGGTCAGGATTTAGGATGGACAGCAGCTAGTGAGCTCAGGCATGGCCTCTGTGGGGTTAAATGGGGAGAAAATACACTCCCCCACTTCTCACCCTGCCTGAAGGTGTCTTTGGGGATTCTCAGTTGAGTTTCAGTTGGAAGAGGAGCAAGATCAGTGTGAGCTGCACATGCTGGCGCTGCTCTTTCCTTCTGAAATCAATGAACTAAGCRGAACAGTTCATTGCTCAGGTTAAAAAAGTCAATAAAAATCAAAAACAACCTGAGCTGCGAGCAATTTAAGTTGCATCAACCAAACATTGGCAAGRATAAATTGGCAATAATAATAATAGATCATGGGTGCCATCTGCTTTCTGAAGAGCCCACGCTGCTTTGATTATGATAATATTCCCACGAGGAAATCATGTTGCTGCTCTGCTTTGCTCGAAGGAAAGCATTTGCCTGTGTTTCTGTGCCCTGATGCAATTCGGCTCCCTTCACAGGTCGATTTTGGCTTTGCAAAGAAAATAGGATTTGGAAAGAAAACATGGACTTTCTGTGGGACTCCYGAGTACGTAGCCCCAGAGATCATCCTGAACAAAGGTCACGACATTTCAGCAGACTACTGGTCACTGGGAATCTTAATGTATGAACTCCTGACTGGCAGGTATGGGCATCGGAGCCAGCACAGCTGATAAAAACAGAGCAGAGCGCTTCTGCCATTGTCACTCTGATTAGAAACCTGGAAGATGCCGAGCGGACACGTGCCATTGTGGCCCAGAGAATCTAAATGCTATCCTGTTGAACCCTGCGTGTGTATATATGTGTATATATATGTGTATTTTAATTTCCTTTCTAACCCTCAGCTTTGGGTTGAGGTGGTGGGAAAAGGGTTTGCAGTTCCTGCAGAGTGGTGGCGAATGTGGTAGGATCTTGCACATCTGGAAGAGCACTAGGGCTCATGGGGTGGAGACTTGAGTCACTAGAGCCATCCCTTCGCTTAGTTTAGTTTAGGTACAAGTGTTGCCATCTAAAATATTCTTCTTGTTTGCGTTTCTTAAGTACTTGTGCAGTTCTTGGCCCTGTCATATGATGGGCGTGGGCACGATAGGGTAGCCCAAAGCAAGACAACCCTACTCTCCATATTGAGAACTGTTTGTTCATGCGGTGCTGTGCTTCACCCAACCAGCTCTATTGAGCCAAGGGAAACCTAGTCAGTCCCCAAGGATRATGTGTCACAGCATCAAAAAGAAAATAAGCTAAGGAGCAGAGCTCAGAGCCTTGTTCCTCAAGCTGGCAGGACCCAAGGCCTGATAGAAACAGGACTTTCAGCCTGTGCTACTTGGAGAAGAGGACTTTGCTCTTTGATACTTCCTTTGCACTAACTAGAAAACTATCCTTTATTTAAGTATCAGAGCTCCTTGTATCAGGGAGTGTCAGAGCATCTTGGCCAAAAAAAAAAAGGGGGTGAAGGACATAGGAGACAAAGCATTTCTGGTTCTCATTTCTCACACAATGTTTTGTTGGAAACTATGATTTGTTGTGTGGTGGCTTATGTAGATAAATATAAATATAGCAGGCTTTAATGCTATTTTAAAGGCAAGCTTTTGATCCTTCTCTTTCTGTCTCCTCTGAAGTCCACCTTTCTCAGGCCCAGACCCCATGAAGACCTACAATATCATATTAAGGGGAATTGACATGATTGAATTTCCAAAGAAGATTGCCAAAAATGCTGCTAACTTAATTAAAAAACTATGCAGGTAAATGCATGAAATATATTTGGTTCTGTCAAAGGCACAGAGAAATGACTCCCATGGTGTGATTAAAAAAAAAAAAAAAAAGTAACCTGTATTATTATTTCTTTTACAGGGACAATCCATCAGAAAGATTAGGGAACTTGAAAAATGGAGTAAAAGACATCCAAAAGCACAAGTAAGCATCCTTGCCAACCATCCATCATTTTAACTCATGGAAAGATTCCTTTCAAAGGCTTTAATTTTCTGTGAAAATCCATTTTCTTCAATTCCTTTGGCTTATCCCTTCCTTCTTGCTTTAGACTTTAATTTGCACCTGTTTTTTTTTTTTTTCCTTCTTCGGTATTTTGGTATATCTTCTAACCTTACCTGTGAGCAAAAATGGATCGCACATTGCATAAGACCTCCACATTTGGGTTATTACAGTGCAGATGGTCATTTGGAAACAGCTCAGTCTGTTTGCACTTTATTTTTTGGTTTGGAGAATCCCTTTCCAAGGTTTCCCYGTGGTCCTTCTCTGCTCCCATCCCCAAAACAATGCCAATGAGCTGTCATTGAATGTCCAACTCACAGCTCACCCCACCAGCCTGAGCTGCCAAAKCTCGAGCAGAAGCAGATGGAGAGGAGGACATATAGATATATATATAAAGGGTCTCGGTTGAGGGTGATCAACCCCGTAGGGAGCAAACAGCAGCTGCCAGGACACCTGCTGTGAAGTACAGTGGTCTTCTGAGCACKTGGAATTTAAACTCCACTAGGTTGTTCCACACACTTTGTTAGCTGAATGCATATATAATGATTGCAAGAAGAAATATTAGCACTAATTAGACAATTTTGGAGAACAGAACTGCAGAAGTAATTTAAATATAATTCTGTGCTGCAATTATACCTCAGCTGTACGTCTAACTTCCTGATGTGCTTTCTTATTCTCTCCTTTCCAGATGGTTTGAAGGCTTTAACTGGGAAGGGTTGCGAAAAGGGACACTGACACCTCCTATAATACCCAGTGTAAGTTCATCACTTGTTTTCTGTTTCTGACAAAGTCAGTTTTGGAGGTGTTTCCATGTGCACTTTGTCTCCTGGCAATCTCTTCAAGGGTCTTAGGGCCTTAGGGTCTTAGGAAGAGGTGTCTTCCCAGGAGGAAAGAGGGTGAAAGGGTCTCCCACTGCTATGGTTATATTGCTTTTTTCACCAAGTGCATCTGCACTTGGTTCATCCTCTGCTTTTCACATTGCCATGGAGAGCTGCTGCTTTTTCCCCCTTTTTCTCTGATGTGTCTGTCTTTCTCCTAGTTCTTTTTTTTTTTTTTTTTTGCTGGAACAAGTGGGATTTTTGTTTGCCTTCTTCCTTCCTTGCTTAACCTATCTCCCTCATCTTTTCTTTTGTGCTTTTTGCCCTTTTCTCCCGCATCCGTGTCCTACATGAAAAGCTCTGGTACCAGCTAGTTTATCTTTAACCGGGGGCAGGCTTGGAGGGACAGCACTCCTCATTTTCCTTTGCAGCAAAGCCCTTGCTTTGATGTCTTTGTGAGCTCTTCAGCCATGGAGCCCGCTGCAAAGGGAAAACAAACAGGATTAGCTGGCAGAAATTACCTTGCCCCCCCTTGTTTCAGCCTAATCCCTTTTCCCTTCGTGCCTCTCCTGCGGGATCATCAAGAGAGATGGTATTTGCAATTGCATTGCGTTGTGCCCCTTTGCTCGGTCCACACGTGGTCCTCTACCTCCTGCAGCACCATGCAGGGCTCCACAACTAAATCCTCCAGCACCGTTTGTTTTTCCTGGTAATGAAGGAGCAAGAGTGTTTGCTGCCTCCTTTTCTCATTGTGGGAGGTGTTGCCAAGTTGGACAGTGAGAYTGAGTTTTCCCCTTTACTTACAGTTTCAATGTCCGGTTGATCTAGGAGTGAGGTGTAACCTGGAAATGTCCAAATGTGTTTTTCCTTACTGGATTTTTRGCTTAGGGAAAGTGTATGCAAGGCTTTCACCCAACATGAAGTCGAGTTTGATCTTCATTCTAGTAGACGACAGTTGTACTCATCTCTTCAACAGAGTAGCCACCTCCTTGCTGCTACACCAGGGGTTCCTGTGCCGTAAATCCACATGTTCTCCTTTGCACAGCCATCCCTATTTCCACATACTACATGGATATTGAAACATGAGCTCCGCTAGTCTGTCATGAAGGACTAAGGGAGGGATTAAGTACAAGACCCACTGTGAGATTCAAGGCATCTATGCTGTCTAACCCCCAAGCAGAACAACAGGATCTTGCTGGAGTTGCTTCTTGGCCCTAACAGGGTGTATATTCCTGGGTCCAGTGCCCTCCTACTGGGGAACATATCTGTGATTGTCCCCAAGAGAGTGATATGCTGTCTCCCATATACACGTAACAGCCCACTGTTTGAAGCAGATGTGAGCAAAAGTTCTCAGTTCTGTTACCAGAAGGACAACCTGCTCCTGGATRTTGCTTCAGGAAAGCAGTGAAGCCTTGATACTGCCACTGGCATCTATGATGGTGGCAGGGGCCCTGCAAGGACGCTCCYGCTCCTAGTGCCTCTTCCTAAAGAAGTGCAGTCTCTGGGCCAGAATTCATCACAAGCCAACTGKTTCACAAACTTATTGGAGGACAAGCTGGACTCCAAGTTCTGCAGCAGCTACACAAGGGACATGAAATGATTACGCTGTATCTAAGGTGTTTCCTTAAACAGCCTTGCCATGGGCAATATGGTCCTCCCCAAATCCACRCTGGCGACCTTGAGGTGCTGCTGAAAGCACTGACTTTGCTCTAGTAAAAYTCACATTATTTTTGCCTGGAGGAGCAGCTGGTCTATTTTTGTTCTGATTTTAAAATTACATTGAATCTATTGGGAGCCTGGCAAAGGAAAGTTTTAATTATTGTCGTAAAGCAGAAAAGTTATCTAATTACGGCAGGTTTAAAATTACACTTTTTAGTCTCCCTCCTTGGCCCCCCCCCCAAAAAAAAAGAGAGAGAGAGAAAGGTACTTAGCTTTCATAATTCTATTAATTCTATTAGATGGATGAAACTCAGACTTTCTGCTTCATTGGAAGCATTAATATTTGGCTCTGTTACAGTTCAGGGCAAACTCATTTGTGTCAAAATCCATCACTGGAAATGCAGATGCATCCTAGGAATAGCAATGTCTCTCTGCCAGCGTGCGCAACGAGCCGGGTTGACCGCCCCACCTTCTACCTCTGTTCTCTCGGCAGGTTGCATCTCCGACGGACACAAGCAATTTCGACAGCTTCCCTGAGGACAACGACGAACCGCCCCCTGACGACAACTCAGGATGGGACATAGATTTTTAATGTATTTCTTTTACCTGCTTCTGCCTTGCTGAAGACAGCTTCCTGGGACGTGGCTGCCAGCAGAACTGAAAGAGTTGGGGAGGATTAGTGCTCGGGGTCACCATGATGCCTTGATTGATGCTGCTACAGTAACTACAGTGGCATTAGGACTTCTCGCTTAGATGACAATAGTGCTCTTCATGTTTTCTGTTCAAACTTAAAATAGCAGTTGACATGTGGTGGTCCTGACGCAAAGCCTTTCACCGGTAAAGAGATACGTTTTCTATCACCGCGACGTTCTTGCGACGCTCTAATTATCCAAGTTGAAAGACAGCGTAGCGTAAGATGCAATTCTAGCTGCGAGGCACTGGCTTTTATCGGTAGGATCAATAGTAATTTATTAAGTGCTGCCGCTAAGCGCAGTACAGGATCAGGGCTCCTCCCGCACGTCAAGCTCTGTAGGTCTTCTACTGTAGGCCAGTGAAGAAACAAGGGTGGACCACAAAAAAAAAAAAAAAAAAACCCACATCGGTCCAAGAGTTGGTGTCAAAGCAGTTGTAAGATTTGTCCTTTTTCTTTGTGAGCAGTATTCATGATGGGACTGAATGTTACCGTTCCTCTTTCTTTTGGAATTTTTTTTTTTTATTATGATTTAACCTGACGTAATAAAAGCACAACTGCTCTAGATGCTGTTAAGAACTGTTAGAGCAGATATTGGTTGCTTCTCACCTTCAACAGAGAACAGAGTGTAACAACACAAGGGATGTTATTCTTTCTTTCTGGTACAGATACCTAACTGCATGACAAAAAAATAATCATGAAAYTATTCATTTTACATATAAAATAGCACTTAAATAACAGATGTAAAAGTGACAGCAGCCAATTGGTCTTATGGATCGGTTCTTTGGCTTGAAAATAAGCTTGACTTTCATCCAAAGGGAGATTTTAAGATCYGTAATGTACTTTACAGGTGCTACGTACATCCTTCATCTGCTAATATAGGTACTGAGTCCACAACCATTTCAGAAATATGTAGCAAGAGGCATCGCTTTCCATTGAGCTCTGAGAAAACATTGTCTGCATTTTGACATCTCCTCCATGTTTATTTCGCAGGCAAAAACACATGGTGCAGGGCCAGGATGGTCATTCTGTCTGGAAGATTGCACCTCAAAGTGCAGTCTTAATGCCACTCCAGAGACACCCACAGAAAATTGGGTCGCATTAAAGGGAGATCTTGCACTGGACTCACAAGACCAACTTGTGCTAGTCACAGCAGGTCATCTCCTTGCTAGGACTGGCAGTTCTCCTGCACGTCCTGGTGACTCTTTGGAATTGTTGGCTTTTATGGTACATGTACGTCCACCTCCATGTGTCATTTCATTGCAGGAGTATTTCCCCAAAGGCCAAGAGTCTTTGCCTTGACCTTGATCCCTTGAGTTGGAGCTTCACCTCCAAAAGGAGTAAACACTTAAAATATATATWTTTTTTAACTCTCATGCTAATTCCCAACACTTCTCCACTTTCCCAATGCAGGTGACTTGGGGAGTCTGAGCAGAGCTTACTCAAAAGACATTTTCTCCACTCCTATGACAGTCTCAACAGTATCTAAAGCTGGCCGAAGAGCTCGGTTAATGCAGGCCCCTTCCTTAAAACCAGCCTGTTTCACTGAGCTTTCTCCGTGCTTTTTAAGACAACGTTTTCAGCGCAATAACGCCAGGTTATTTCTTCTACCGTTAATCACGTCRGGCATCGCGTTTGCCTTGGAAACCCCGGGGAGAAGACAGTAACCGCGTCCACTGGGAATCGCTTGCCTAGGACAAATCTACGCAGAACTAGTTCATCTTAAGGGTTGAATACTAAATACTAGGGCTAAAATAACAGCGAGGTGACCTACCAACCCAAGAGTTGCCCGGCTGCATTAAAGCCAAATTCTGTCTTCACATCCCCCGCCACTGTCTTCGCTTGATGACTACATTGGACCACCTTTGCACAGAAGCCCATAAAGAGGACGTTGTGCAATGTTTAGGGCTTGAGGTTCAAGTCCAACCTTGAGGTCCAGGGTTCAAGTCAAGCAAGGACTTGCCAAGGGTGATGGCTTTTTTTGGGGGGAGGTGAGAGAACTGAGAACCTCGCAGGATGTTTTAGAAAGGGGTTATTCTCTTTCCACCTCTCGGTTTCTTTTTCCCTTGTGCCGCACGCAATAATGATAACCCGACTCGTGTGGCATGCACTGCATTGGATATAGATTTATTTTGATAACCAAACACCTCACTTGACTTCCCTCACCTCTACGACGCATCTTTTAAACATGGTTAGCATATGTATATTGATAATATACGTCTTCATTTACAAGTAATATATTTGAGTTGCATAATATATATAAATATATATATATATTCACACCAACTGATTGCCTTCATGTTTCCACATACTGTCTTTACTTCTTGGTCTCCTTTTTTTGTTAAAAAAAAAATAAATGGGGCGACTGTGTCTTCCTATGAGGGGAACCAGCTGCCGTATTTATAGCAAGCGTGTTAAGATTGGTGTCCTTAAGATACAGGCGACCTGTAGCTTCGTACTGTGCCGCATTACCCATAGGTAACCCCTTATTTAACAACAGGACCACAGGCAAATATTTCTGTAAATAGGTATTTCTGTCGGTATTTTGTGGTATACACATATGCGTTTTTTTAATTTTTCCTTTTGCGTCCCACAGCATTATCCCCTCCGTTTCCTTCTTTGTAACGTAATGTTTTTATGGAGCAACGTAGACTTGAATTAATGTCATGATTGTCAGTATTATTGACTTTTATGTCAACGGTACCGTTAACTCATTTGTCCCATCGGTTGAGACCATGACTCGGCTATCTGGCGTTGTTGCAAGTGCCTTAAATCCATGGCATCCTATTAAAAAAAAAAAAAAAAAAAACACAAAAAAAAAGAGGAATTTGGTGTTATGCTGCATGATGGAGACAAACACACCTCAAAAAGAAATGTTGTCCTTTCTTAGCTTGCTGCGTTTTACAGTTCTTTCTGCTGACAATTTCTAAGCCTTTACTATATATATATATATATATATATATATACTATTGACGACCTACAGAAATGATGCCGTCGTTCTCTTATTTCTGTTCAATGTAACCAGAGCTGTGTATCCGTTGATGAGATACAGAGTCATTTCTGTGAAATGTATACATGTACGTGCGGGTCAGGTTTACTATATGACATCCTAGCAGTCCGTATACAGGCATTCCTGTTTTGCGAAGCCGTGCAGATGTGACCTACGGCGCAGTACCGTCGCCCAAAAACAAAGAGAAACAACCTGGGGTTTTGACGCAAAACCAATGAACTAACCAAAAAAAAAAAAAAAGAAAGAAAAATAAATTAATAATGATAATAATAAAGTTTGCATGGTGTTTGCACCGCTCAACAAAATGGGAGCAGATTTATTTTGTATTCTTACGTCTCAGATATTTTTTTCAACCCTCTTCCCAACCCCGTCCTCTTCCCAACCCCTTCCTCTTCCCAAYGCCATCCTCTCCCCAACCTCAGCCTCTTCACAACTCCATCCTCTTCCCAACCTCTTCCTCTTTCCACCTTCAACCTCTTCCCAACCCTTTCCTCTTCCCAACGCCATCCTCTCCCCAACCTCAGCCTCTTCACAACTCCATCCTCTTCCCAACCTCTTCCTCTTTCTACCTTCAACCTCTTCCCAACCCTTTCCTCTTCCCAACCCCATCCTCTTCCCCAACCTCATCCTTTCCCCAACCCTATCCTCTTCCCAAGGTCAACCTCTTCCTAACCCTGTCCTCTTCACAACCTCATCCTCTTCCCATCTCGAATTGGACCGTGCAGTGTTTAATTAGGAGACATCCATCGCTGGACCAGTTGCACTCTTTGGATATGGTCCTACGGCCAGGTTGTTTTATGTTATTTTTTTCTTTTTTGGGGGGGTTGGTATTTTTTTCCCTCCTTTTTTTTCCCCCTTTTCGCCTTGGATTTCCCGGCTTTTGTTCTRTGCTGAGTGTCGCCCCTCCACTGTAACTGCTGAGTGCCTGTTGTACACTTTCTAGCAACGAAATAATAAAAAGGAGAACTTTTGGAGAGCACTTCTAGGGGCTGTCGCTGCTCAGTGCTGCCTGGTCGTATATAGGGGCGGATATAGGAGGGTATGGAGAGAGATGGGTAAATATATAGGGGGGATATGTATTTAAGAGAGGGTAGATGTATGGCAGAGTAAGAATAGGCTTTATAAATATATAAATATATAAATATATAAATATATAAATATATAAATATATAAATATATAAATATATAAATATATAAATACATAAATAGGGAGGATATGTATATATGTGTGTGTGTGTGTGTATATATATATATATTTATACACACATAGATGTGACTGGGTCCAGGCTGGGTCAGGGGCTAATGGGGGCAGGAGGGGGTCCCACGTGCCCAGCCCAGGTTGGGTTGGGGAGGATCGGGAGATCCCAGTCAGGGTTTGAGAGGGTTCCCAGGTCTGGGATGGGTTGCGGGGGGAACTCCAGAGGAGCTGATGGGGGGGATGCATCCGCGCTGGATACGGGGGAGCGGTTTGGAGAGGCAGTTGCTGGGTCCAGGTTGTGGGGAAAGGGGGAAATTCCCCATGGCCCCGTCCCAGGCTGAGCTGAGCTGGGGAGCACTGGGACGGGGTCGGGGGCTTGTTGATAGGGAGCCAGACTCGGGTCCAGCCCCCCCCCATCATTCCACGCCTCAAATCCATCCTGGACCGGAATGGGGACACGGGACCCTGAGCACCCCCCCCGACTCCCTCGGGAACTGCTCCCACCTCTTGTCCCGGATCCCCCAGCCTGACTCAGGACCTCCCCCCGATTCGCGCCCCCACCCCAGTTTGCACCCAGGACTCCCCACCAGCCTGGACCTGAACCTAGAGCTCCCTCGTGAGGCGCCCGCCCCAAACCCCATCCCCCTCAGTCCCCCCAGTCCAGCCAAGGACAGGGATGGGGTTGCGGGAACTCCCTCCCCTCCCCGGCCTCCTATTTGCCCTCGACCCAATTTGCCGAGATCCGGCCCGGCCCAGGACCGCTCCCCTGCCGGAGACCCCCATGGAGGCTCCTTTCCCACCCGCCGAGTCCCCTCCCGGCCCTCCAGGACCGGGACTCCCCTACACATCATGTCATCCCTCGACCCACCCCAGACCCGGGACCTCCCCCCTGGCCAAGCTGCCCTGAGCCTGCACGGGGACCCCCAGACTCCTTTGCCCCTGACCCAGACCAGACCCCAACCCACAAGCCATCCCCAAACTCCCGAGGTCACCATCCCAGAGCGGACCCTGGACCCAGGACGGCCTCCCACCCTGCCAAGATGCCCAAAGGCAGACCAGCACCCCCAGCCCGAGGGGCAAAGGGGTCTGAGGAACTGGTGCAGGGTCAACAGAGTCCTGGAGTGGGTCGGGGGGTGACATGGTGGGGGGGATCCCGGACCTGGAGGGTGAGGAGGGGACTCGACAGGGGGGAAAATGGTCTCCATGGGGGAAAGGTCCTGGATCTGGCCTGAATAGGATGGGTTGGAAGGGACGGGGCAGGTCCTGGTCTAGGGTGGGTGGGACACTGGGGCGGGGGGGTGGCTGCGTCCTGGTTCCTGGTCCAGGCTGGCGCAGGCACAACTGGGGGGAAATGGTCCCCAGAGCCAGGACTGAGCCCTCCCCCCGTCCCCGGTGACCCCCATGGAGGCCAGCTCCTCCCCCGCACACCCCCAGTGTCACTCCCCAGCCTGTCCCAGATCCGGGAACAACCCACCCCCCTCATTCCCCCCCCAACCGCTTCATCCCCAATCTCCCGAAGTTGCCCCCGTATCGGAACCTGAACCTAACCCCTCCTCCCTCCCACCCCTCCAGGAGTGAGGGGGTCCTGGGTCCAGACTGGGGCCGAGGGGGCAAATTGGGAGGGGGCTCCTGGGTTCAGGCTGGGGGATTGGAGGCAACTGGTGGGAGCAATTTGGGGTGGGGGGTCCCATGTGTCCATCCCAGTTCGGGATGTGTTGGGGGGGGCATGTGATGGAGGTGCCGGGGTCTGTGTCTGGGCTAACTTGGGAATTACTATTTTGGGGGGGTTAGGGAGAATTTGAGSTGGGGGAGAGGTTGTCCCATGTCCCTGTCCCAACCCGTGCTGAGGTGAATGTTGGGTGGGAGGCGGTGCCGAACAAGGTGGACAGGACGGGACAGGTCAAGGTTGGATCCRGGACAACTGGGTGGGGTGGGGGAGAGGGTGCCCAATATCAGGGCTGGATCGGTGGGACTGTTGAGGGGGAGCAAATTGGGGGGGGGGCCTGAGTTCAGGCGGGGGGGGCAACTGGTGGGAGTAATTGGAGGGGGTCAAAGACGGGGGGTGTCGCCTGTGGGCTGGGGTCTGGTCTGGCTCAGGGGCAAATGGGTTGGGGGGGGTGGAAGAGAAGGGTCCCGGCCCGGAGTTGGGGCTTCCTGGGGGGGAAAAGGAGGGGGGTCCCGGTCTGGAGGGGTATGAGAGCCTGGAGGAGGGGGGAGGAGGCGGTCCTGGATTAATAGGTCCTAGTCTGGGCCAATTGCGTCGAGGACAAACTGGGACAGTTTGGGGGGGGGGGGTTGGTCCCATGTCCCGCTCCCAGTCCAGGTTGCGGTGGACTGGGGCGGGAGGGGGAACAAGCTGGACACGACGGGAACGGGTCCCGGCTCCGGGGCTAATTGGGCCGTGGGAAAACCGGGAGGTTTGGGGCGGGGGGGGCGCTCCCGGCCAGGGTCGAGGGAGACTGGGACCCGTCGCGGGTCCCTCTTGCGCCCCCAGCGGCGGAGCCGGGATGC